AATCTAACTACGGAAAAGTGAAGCTTTAAATAGGAAAACTGTGTAAACTTTTTTAAAAATTATTTTAAGCGAGATGCTAATGGTCTAATCTGATGCTATGATTTATGCTAAGCTAAGCTAAAATTTATCCTGCCAGATTAGCTGAATAAATTCGACACTGTTCAAATGGATTCATTTATTCATTTTCTTTTTGGCTTAGTCCCTTTATTAATCAGGGGTCGCCACAGCGGAATGAACCACCAACTTATCCAGCATATATTTCACAAAGCGGATGCCCTTCTAGCTGCAACCCATCACTGGGAAAGACTACACTCTCATCCACACACATGCACTATGGACAATTTAGCTTACCCAGTTCACCTTGTGCATGTCTTTGGAGCCGAGGCTCATACCAGCGACCTTCTTGCTGTGAGGCGACAGCGCTACCTACTGCACCACCGCATCTCCTACTGTTAAAATTCAACTGTTTAATGCTATAAAATGAGTGTTGCTTTAATGTTCTAGTCAAGACAAAACCAACATCAACGTTTTGGATGACCTAAAGGTGAAGTACAGTCACCTTGTGTACCAATTGACGAATAGTTTTGGCTGCATGAAGTGTCTCTCTTTTCCTCTTTCTCTCATTCTCTCTCTTTCTGTTTTTTTCTTCTTTCGTTCATCCTCTCCCTGTAGGCTGTGTCTGGCTTCCTGGCCATGATCTATGGTTTCATCTGCCATTTCTTCTTTTGTGCGTGGCCAAATGGAAGATAGATGAACAGGGAGGCTTAGATGGGGGTGTTAAAAGAAAAAAAAAGGAGGCCTCCTAGTCTCTAAAGTTTGCTCTTTTTAAATTAGGCTGTGTCATTTTAAGGGGGGTTAAAGGGGCAAAAGAATGACCTATTCATTTGGCGTGTGTTCATGGAAAATGTGCGCTTGCTCTGTGAGGTGTGTGTGTGTGTGTTTGGGGATGAAAAAATAAGCTATCGATCATCACAGCCACCTTTAGAGCATGACCAATTTTTGGCCCAAATTGCACAGATGGCGCAATTACATGCAGCGGGTTTGTCCAAGCCCCACACATAATAAAGAAAACACACCGTCCTCAATTACATCTGCACAAACCTTCTCAGATATTCAGTGTTTGGATTCTGATTAGATTCTGATTTCTGAGGTATTAAACACAAATGTGTCAGTGGTTAGTATTTTAAGTTCTGTTTAGTTTAATACAGTTTTTATGTTGTTTGTGACATCTTAAGGTATGTCATTTTATCATATTAATATTATTAAGGCATCTTTAAACAGCAAAGTTGTAGAAAACAAGACCATACATTTTCAAAAATGTGCATTTCCACTACCCGTTTAATGGGTTCTGAGCATACACAGTCCACAAGATGACTTTGTAATATTTTATTGAGTGTTTTTGTACTTTTAAAAAAATATTAAATAGTTTTAGTTTATCCCCCCCCCAATCATTCGAAGGGAAAAAAAATGTAAACAATGTTTTATATATCTGCTTAATGTTTTGTTATACACTCAAAAATATAACTCATTGGAGGAACTCCATTTAATTGAGGGCAGAATTTTCATCCAAATATTTTTTTAGCATCAACTTAAAAAGCTATTTACACAATTAAATGAAATTGAGTTGGTCCAACATGATTTTATTAAATAAAAGTTTAAATACATTTGTTTTTTTTATTTAACCTAAACTCTAAGGTCTGATATTATCATATACTGTTAAAGTACAGAATTTTTTGCATCTTGTTGATTTCTTTTTTCTTTTTATTAACACAATTTCTTCATGTTTCCTCAACACAAAATGTCTAAGTTAAATTAATGGTTTACAAATTTAGGTGGACTGAGCAAAAAACTAATAAATTGGCCAAAAAAATTACAAGAATTGTGTTTTTTCAGCTCATTTTAAGTGGGTAGTAACAAGCAGTAGTAACAATTCTTGAGGATATAAGAGAGAGATAAGAGAGATTGTTTTCTTTATTATTATTATTATTATTTTTATTATTATTATTATTATTAATTTTATTTTGATGATTATATATTTTTTTTATATTTGTGCTTTTATGTGCTATATTTGTAGTGAAATATTGTTTTATATTATAATTTACATAATGTTTATATAATTTACAATTATTATATTCCCAAATAAATTTCTTTTCTTTAAGTTGTGGGCATTAAATGGGGTGTCTTTAAAAACTTACGTAGGTGTTTATGGCTCTACCAGACCAGCTCACTTTGAACATGACTGAATGTTTTTCACCTTCTTTTTCTCTCTCTTTCTCCCTCCTGCTCGCTCTGATTGAGATACTTTTCCATTGTGACCCAAATGCCTCGTGCCTCGTTTGCAGATGTTATTTTATATTTAATACACCTCTTGCTTCCCCTCCTCCTTTTGCAGAGAGATGAATGGGTTCTCTTTCAGCTGTTTAAATAGAGAGGGATGAGAACGTATGAATGGCTGCTGTATAATAGTCTCCAGTCCTGACGTTTAAACAAAGAGCAGAGGTAGAACTCTCACATTGCAAAAATCACCTTAATTGAAATAGTCCAGACGCTGAATGCTCCCAAGCCCAAAAGGGCTGCGATCTCTCTTTTTTCCATGGTCGATCCCAAAAATCCCATAGTTTTATGTCAAACTGTTGCATCAGTTCTGTATTGTCCGCCATTTTCTTTTGTTTTCTACACTGCTGTTATATTAAACCTACACCCTTATTTAAAAACCACAACTTTGTCTATGTCTTTGCTTAAGCTCGTTGCAAGCATCCTTTGATGTACATATGAATAAAAATGCTGTCTAGGTAGGCAGCTGTCTAGGTTTGGAACGCAGCCATTTCGAGTCTCCTGAGAGCCAATTGAATGCCAGTCAGATGTTATGATGGTTGAAACTGAATGAAAGTAGATGTCTAGGTGGTTTGGTATTATGTGCTGTTCTCTCCGTTGGATGTTTGTAATATGCTCAGATTCTACATAAAAGTTTTAAGCATGTTGGTCATTAGCTGTTCGCATCTGTGATCGGTCGAGAAGAGAGCTAGCAAAGATAAAATTTTGGGTTTTATTGCAAGGAAGGCCTTAAATACATTGTGAGTTGCTTTGAATTGAAAATGTGTGCCAAATGTGTAAATGGAAAACAAAAACAAACCAGGCTAGTTGCTACTGTACACTGCAGGCATGTTTTCTTTGTTTTTTTTATTATGGAAGATTTGTAACATGATGTTTGTAACGTGATAAAGCAAATTATGTCCAAATGTGCTTCACTTAAACATTTCTAACAGGTATATAGAGCTGACTCTTTGTTTTAGAATGGTGCTAAGCTAATGGCTAATTAGCTAAGCTAACAGATACAAACAAGTGATAAAACTCTAACTCTGAGTCACTTTTGATTGAAAGTGTGTGACAAATGTGTAAAACAAAAACAAGCCAGGCTTGCCTTCACCTTAATACTGTCTTCATAATAGGATATTAGTTAAATCAGTTGAAGATTTTCTGTTTGCAACGATGAAGCAAATTCTATCAAAATGTGCTTCAATTGAACATTTTACAGGTATATAGAGCTGACTCTTTGTTTTTTAGAATGGTGCTAAGCTAACAGCTAATTGTAAAAGTTGTGCATTTTGTTAGTAGGTTTTCCTAAAGTAGATAATTCCTTCCTTTTAATACAGTTTTTTTATTTTATTTTTTTTATTTTATATTAATCTAGCTGCTTTTGGTGGTATATACAGTAATATATTGCAGTAAATGAGTTTGTTTTTTCACAGAACACAAGCCAGATTCTTCTGTTAACATGTAGAGTAGCTATAAGCTAACAGATACAAACGATCAATGAAACTAGCCAACTATGTAAGTCGCTTCGTGTGCCAAATATGTAAATGTAAAACAAAGGTGTGGTGTAAACGTAAGTTGGTTAGCTGGTTTTAGCTGGTCAACCAGCCTGTTTTTAGAGGGGTTTTGGCCATTTTCAGGCTGGTTTCTAGCCATTTACAGCCTGGTCTTAACTGGTCACGCTGGGAGATGACCAGCTAAAATGAGGCCAGCCAAAACCAGATATGTCCAGCTTAAAGGCTGGTCAAGCTGGATTTAGCTGGTTTTAACTGGTCATTTCCGAACATGACCAGCTAAGACTAGGCTGGAAATGACCAAAACCCCTCTAAAACTAGGGTTGTCGACCATCTAAAACCAGCCAACCAGCCTTTGCTGGTTTAAGCTATTTTTTTCCAGCAGGGATATTTTTTGTTTGTAACATGGTGCTAAGCTTATGATAAAAGCCATGTTTGTTTTGTTATCAGGTTGCCTTAAACAAAATGATCTGTTGCTTTCATTACTTTTTTTATTAATATTAAGCTTACAGACTTTGGTAAAATATTTGAATGAGTTCATCTTTTTTCAGAGTAAATAAGTCAGACTTGTCTCTAAACATATAGCTAAGCTAACAGATAAAATTGAGATATGAGACTAGCCAACAGCAAGTCATTTTGCATTGAAAGTGTTATTTTAAAATTATGTTTTCTGTTTGGAATGGAAAAAATTCTGTCAATTTTCTCTTCATTTTTCTAACTTTTGTATAGAGCTTGTTTTAGAATGTTTTTAAAATGGGATATCCCATTTGCAGATTTTCTTGGGTGCATACAGTAATATAATGCAGTAAATAAGAATCCTTTTTTCACAACTACACAAGTCTTGACTCCCTGTTAGCATACAGCTAAGATAACACCTCAAGCTAACAGCTAAAAATGAGAGATGAAACTAGCTAATGTTTTTCTGTGATTACTTACACTATTCAATAGATGACTTGAACTTCGTACGTTTCTCAATATGTAGAGCTGATTCCAGTTAGAAATGCGTTAGCCTGCTGCTAAGCTATCAGCTCATCACGCTGCAGGGCAGATACTGGATTTTGTTTTGGATTGGGCTGTTTTCTATCTGTAATTGTAAATAGAAAACCATGTTGAAATGAAGCCTGGTGAGGTGTAAGGTGTGATAATGCCTGTGGTGTTTGTGTGTGTGCACAGGTGAAGCGAGTGCCAGTGGAGAGCTGTTCTCAGTACAGCAGCTGTGGAGAGTGTCTGGCCTCTGGTGATCCTCACTGCGGCTGGTGTGTCCTGCACAGTGTGTAAGTATCTGCATCTCCTTAGCCCACAGATCATAACAAACACACACAGATATATGCGTTTGCTTGTTTATCTATTTATCTTTATGAAGAGTTTCCTTTTTTCTTTCCTTTTTGTTTTTAGTTTTATTCTAATGATAAAAATTTCCATACGGTATTAAGAAGGCTGTGCAAATTATAGTTTTATTAAAATGTATATATATATATATATATATATATATATATATATATATATATATATATATGATGTATTTACAAAATATTTGACGTAGTATGTATAATATGCAAGTATGTATGGATCTATTAGGTATGTAAAATGTGCAAGAAAATTAAGCAAAAACCTACATAAAAATAAAATTGTAATATTTTAATTAACTTAACATTTTAAAATTAAGTTTATTATTTTATTATGTATTACTACAGTACCTTACAGTTAAAACTAGAAAAGTTGTGTATAGGGTGGACAATATAATATTGTAACAAAGCAAACGCTGAGAACAGACTTGCAGATCCAAATGCAGTTTATTAGAAGTAAGGGTCAAAAACAGGAGCAAAACAGTATCACAAGGAAAATCTAAAAGACATGGTCATTACGCAGGTGAGAGGACCGACTAAGCGGCAGTGAATCAGAACGAGGAACAAGGCTAGGAACAAAAACAAACCAGGGAAAACGCTTTGCAATGTTCAGTAGTGAAACAAGACTAGTGAAAAATGTAGTGAAAAAAAGGCGGGGTGTATTTATAATTCTTGTAATCAGTGTAGATGAGCAGCAGCTGCTGTAGGAGTTGATGAGCGCAGGGAGTTCTGGGAGTTGTAGTTCGTTCCGAAGTAATCTCCAATAGACAGATATACTTTTCTTTTTTTACATGTAAGGTTTTTACTTTATTTTGCTGCAATTTGTTTTAGTTTAGTTTTTTGTGTTTTATTTTGTGTTTTATTTTATTTAGATTTTATTGTTTGATATATTTTCTTTTTTACAGTTTTATTCTATTTTGTTCAAAAATGCTAGAGTAAAGACAAACCATGTTATTTAATGAAATTTATTCAGCATAGCCTTTATTCATGTACTTAAAATTCTTATTATAGTAATGACACTTCGGACTTTTCTTCATCATCACATGAGTTATTCTACAAGGAATCAACCTATTAATAAACAATGTGTATGATCTGCCTGTGTGATGATCACAGTAGATTGATTGTGGTTGTGTTGTTGTGTTTTTGTTTAGCTGTTCTCGTAAGGACCGTTGTGAGCGAGCAGATGAACCCCAGCGATTCGCCTCCAGACTGGAGCAATGCGTCCGGCTCACAGTACAACCCAACAACATCTCTGTCACCATGTCTGAAGTCCAGGCAAGTCAATTACACCTCAGATTGTCATTCAGATCAATGGATCATTAATTGGAGGTTGTTTCGCAATGATTTTGACCACTTTCAATGAGTGTATCCGAGCTGGAACTGCTATAGATATTGATTTGTCACAAATATTTAAAAAAGATGCAAGTTACATTGAATTAAGCATGCCATTTTGAAGCTGATAGAACAAATTAGTTTTTTTTTTTTTTTTAAATGTGTTACATTGTTTGATTTTAAAACTAAAATTAAGATATGTTTGTATTATTTTGGTTTGATTTATTCATTTAAATTGTGTACACAATATAAACTTTTATTTGTTACTTAATTTGATTTTCTATTTATCTATTTTAATCCATTGGTAATGCATTTTACAGTTAATTATTATTAATTATATTTAATTATAAAGATAAATTTATTTTAATTATAAAGATAATTATAAAAATAAAGGCAAGTTATATTCAGTTAAACATGACATTTTGAAAGTAATTTTTTTCTTTAAAAATGCTTAATTTAGTTTGATGTTAAAACAAAAATTTTAATTTTTTTGTGTTATTTTCTTTGATTTGTTCTTTTAAATTGTGTACAATATGTTAATTTTTATTTATTATTTAATAACCTTTTAAAAATTGCAAGTAGCAGTGAATTAATTGTGAAATTTTAAAGTTGAAAGACTAAAATATTTTTTTAATAATCTTTAGAAAGTGTTTTGCTATGTAAAATTGTTTTTGATATATTAATAATGTTTTGGTATGTTCATTTTTTGTTTTATTACCAAAATATTTTACAAATATTTAAAAGTAAAGGGAAGTTATAATCAATTAAACATGACATTTTTAAAATAATATATTTTTTTAAAATATATTTTATATTTTTTATAAGTGTTTTGTTTGATTTTAAAACTAAAATTAACATACGTTTTGGTGTTAATTTGTTTGCATTTGTGAACAATTTTAATTATGTATAATAAATGAACATTTATTTGTAATTTATCAATTAGATATTCTTTTTATATTTAGCAATTTTTTAAATTAATTATAAAGTAACAACTGTAATGTGAAATTTTAAAACTGAAAGACTGAAGTATATTTAAAATATATGGATTACATTTTTGTATTTAAAAATATTTTTGATGTATCGATAATGTTTTAATATGTTATGTTATTTATTTTTATTGCCAAAACATTTTACAATATAAACAGTCTATTTGTACATTTTAATAATTTAAACATTGCTTATTAATATTGTTAAGAATATTATTATATTAATATTGATATTAAGATTTCTGATTTTGATGAATAATCACATTTTCACTGGAATAAACTTAAAATCACAAATTCCTTGCTGATTTATTGCTTCTGATCCATATTTCTAATGCGATTTCTAATTATCTCTCACTGTTCTTAGAAGTGGGTAAATCAACACAGTAAAATGTAGGTGTAGATGCTATCTGGCTGATAATATCTGCATATGAAAGTCCAGCTGTCTTTTGCACAAATGTTCAGTGTTTGTCATGCCAATAAAGCAATAAAGCTGAAATCCTATTCTGTCTCCTGCAGCTGGTTCTTCAGGCTCAGAACGTCCCAAGTCTGGCAGCGGGAGTAAACTGCTCATTTGAAGACTTTACAGAGACTGAGGGACACATCATGGGGGGACGCATCTACTGTCTGTCCCCCTCCACTAGAGAGATCAGTCCTATCACACGCAACCAGGGTGAGAAGACACATATACAGTACACACACATATGCATACTGACACACTCATGGAACATTGCTGAATATGAATTCAAGCAGTTCTGGAGAGAATTGTTTGAAGATAAAGAGACCATATAGCATCATAGGAAAACAGAGCAAGGTTGAATGGAGATCAGGAATGTGACATGACATGAGTGTTTTAGTTATAAGTTTTCTGTGCTTTTAACTAGTGATCAACTAGAGATCAACATCGGAAACTCCCGATTATCAAAATATATATTAATTTAATTTAATTTTTCAAAAATTATTTTATTTTGTTTTATTTTATTTTATTTTTATTACATTATTTAATTTTTTATTTTGTTTTATTTACTATTTATTTAGTTTTTTATTTTATTTTATCTTTTTTATTGTTGCGTTTTGTTTTGTTTTTTGTTGATTTATTTTGTTTTATTTTATTTTCTTATTTTTATTTTTTATTATTTTTTATTTTGTTTTATTTTATTTTGTTTTTATTTTATTTTATTTTACTATTATTTTATTTAATATTTTATTTTGTTTTATTTTATTTTTTGTTATTTTATTTATTTTTTATTTATATTAATTTTATTTTGTTTTGTTACAATTTTAATTTATTAAAAAATATAAAATTTTTATTTTTTATGATTTTATTTTGTTTTATTATTTAATGCTTAATTTAATTAAATTTTTTATTATTTAATTTTGTTTTGTTTTTTTGTTTTTATTTTATTTTATTTTGTATTTTATTTTATTTTAAATTTTTTATTGATTTATTTTATTTTTTGTTTTATTTTATTTACATTTGTTAAATATTTTATTTTATTTTTAATCTATTCTATTTTATTTTGTTTTATTAAGTTTATTTTATTTCATTTTTTAGTTTTTTTTATCACTCGTGATTAACTTATATATTATAGTATGTTTTAGAATATTATAGTATGTTTTTTTAATAATGTAACAGTATTTTTTATTTTAATTTCTTTTTATTTCATGTAGAGTGTCTTTGTTTTTGTATATTTGTCTTGTTTTCAGTTTTTTAAATAAATATTAATATATTTCTGTGCTATTTTTTGTTATAGGCTACGTAATGAAATTAATCAAACATTGCCTTTATTTATTTATTTAAATTCCTCTCAGTTCAAACACTTCCTAATGTTCCTCATCCAGTTACTATGACCATTTATGTGAAGCTGCTTTGACACAATCTACATTGTAAAAGCGCTATACAAATAAAGCTGAATTGAATTGAATTGAATACACTGATATTACATCAAACCTAATAAACCTACTAATAAAAAACAATACTTAATCTGTCTGTATTAAACACAAAACAGAAAGAGTTTCTGATCCATTGGTTAATCATCTTATTAATATTAATATAAAAATTGATCCAAGTAGATGATTACTCAACCTGAAATGACAAGCTGAGCTTCTGAAATAAAGCTGTTGGTCAAGTTAACATGAGTCTTAAGGAGGAGACGCCTATGTGTCAGCACACACACACACACACACACACACACACACACACACACACTGCTTGTTAGAGCTTGCTGAAGCTCACCGTGTGTCTGTCTGCAGGTGACAAGCGGGTGGTGAAGCTCTATCTGAAATCTAAGGAGACAGGGAAGAAGTTTGCCAGCGTGGATTTTGTCTTCTACAACTGCAGTGTCCATCAGTCGTAAGTCTCTTTTCCTGCCGTCGAACTCTCTCCCTCTTTCTCTCTGTCTCTCAGATGAAGACAAGTTTATTTTTGCGTAGACTTATGTGTGTTTGTGTGTTAGTATTGTCACAGTACTAGAAGTATGAAATGGGATAGATAGATAGATAGATAGATAGATAGATAGATAGATAGATAGATAGATAGATAGATAGATAGATAGATAGATAGATAGATAGATAGATAGATAGATAGATAGATAGATAGATAGATAGATGATGGATGGATGGATGGATGGATGGATGGATGGATGGATGGATGGATGGATGGATGGATGGATAGATGGATAGATAGCACGTGCTGGTAGAGGCGTGATGCTTCCTGATGACGGGAAGATGATTTGTGAATCACAGCACATTATATTAGCCAATCAGAGCCTCTTGAGGGCGAGCCTTTCAGAGGAACTATGACATATGATAGTTATTTTCATGTTAGCTCAGTAGCTGTATATAGTCAAAGTAAGATATATGAAAAAAAAACCTTGTTTTTTTTTTACAATTGAAGCATGAGCACACATTGCTTAGCACCCCATAAACACATCCAAGCCTTTAAAATACACTTTGGACCACCCCTTTAAAGACATTGTACATTTACATTTGGTCTAAAGCTTGGGTCCTGATTTTGTTCCCAGGAGATTTTTGAAGAGATGGGTTTTTAGTTTTGTTGTTACTTGACATGTATTACCGCAGGAAAGTGCTATTATATTGTTTCAAATATTTTACTATCAATACGTATTGACATATTGATACTTTTGACAACGCTAGTGTGTGTGTGTTTCTTGCTTGTGTGTGTGTGTGAGAGAGAGAGGGATGTGTGCTGTTAGCAGTTTTTCGCTGAGATCAGGGATGAGATCAGACTTTTAATGTCATTTCATTAAGCGCTCGTGAGCATCTCTGACTTGAGCCGTCCAGTTTTACTGCTGTTGAGTTATATTACTGCAGTTCTTACATCACTCGCTCCCATTCCTTCACTTCAGGCCATCCTTTATCCCTTCTCCAATCAGTAGTGAATAAAGACGACCGCTAGTCTAGAACACATGTGTCAGGTTCCTAGCATTGTGATCTGTGTTTTCATTTGGGTGTCCTGTTTTTCTGAACCTTCACACTGCAAGAATGCAATACACCTTTTTAAATTTAATGGCCTTTATAAATGTCATATTATGTATGTACTAATGGATTACTTAAAGAATAATCTTAAAGGGATGGTTACCCCAAAATTGTGTGTGTGGTTGTGCAATTTTGTGTGCACTGTAAAAAATGCTGGGTTCCACAGAATTTATTCATGTTGTCGTAACACAAATCAATTAAGTTAACTTGACACTTTTAACAAATTTGTGTGGATTGAACGTAAAAAAAAATGAAGTTGTTCCAATGAAGTCTCAAGAATTGTGTTGTTTCAGCTCATTTTAAATAAGTAGTTTAAATAAGTAAAAATATATATTTTTGAGTGTGTGTGTGACAAAATTGTAATGAAAACAACATTAAAAATAAATAACAGATTTTCAAGTAACAGAGAACACAAATCTGCTATTAAATGGTATTTAAATTTTGATGACATTCCTTAATAAAACAACTGTAGTTATATATTTATACATTTAAACAACATTTTAGCAGTATAAATTAATTAATTAATGTTAGTTTTTTAATGAGATTTTCTTTGAGGCACCACCTTGACATGGTTCCACATAGCGAAACATATTTAAATAAATTAATAAAGAATTGTAATTGAAAACCTGTTCATAATATAATGTGTAATGTACAAATGAAGTCAAAATTATTAGCAAAATTGTTATTATTATTTCAAATATTTTCCAAATGATGTTTAACAGAGCAAGGCATTTTTCACAGTATTTCCTGTAATATTTTTTTTATTTTGAGGAAAGTCTTATTTGTTTTATTTTGACTTTAATAAAAGCAGTTTTAAAATGTTTTAAGGTCAATATAATTAGCCCCTATAACCCTCTGAGGTCGCCAGGTCATGCCACTGTGACCAACATTTTTTCTTATCAGTCTAAGCAACACTAAGAATACTCAAAATAAGGAAAATGAACAGTGTGCACACTCTTTCTTTTGTCTCATGGGCACCGCAGCTAGACAGTCGCCTACTTGCGGCACTGGTGTGCGAACTGATATTAACCCATGTTTTCAATTCTAGGTGCTGCATGCCTCGGCACATCCAATGTGCAACCCCCTTTAGGATGGTCTTGCTACAGACAGTTACAAGCCTTTTTGCATCCTTGTTGAAACTCACACTGTTAGTCAAATCAAAGATAAATGTTAATTTGGCAAGCTGAACACATTCTGTACTGTACAGGAGACACAGAGAATATTGATTGACAATAGTCTACAGCCAATTAGGACTCAGAACACAATCCAAACTGCTAGACTATAACCATGTTATAGCAAGGGACCACTGTACATTAACACACTGAAATAAATGTCTCAGCAACTTCAGGTTCACACAGACTTTAAACAATTAATATTTGCACCATATAATTAATGCTGATAACAGTAGCACCATTTCATTCCATTGACCTTATTTCCAGTCTCTCTTTGTCTCTCTCTCTCTCTGTCTCTCTCTCTCTCATCTCCGGATAGACAACAAGTTTGTGCTGCAGGCGTAAGCAGCTCCACATGTGTTGATCTCCAGTGTCTCTCTCCTTCATTAAGTCTATACATTAGCATGTCTCTGTCCTATTAGCAACGCAGCCTCTTCATCTAAAGCCGGACGCGATGAAGTGCTCACCTGGTGCTCCTCATGTGTGTGTTCGTGTGACTAAGACACTCGATTTGGCCCTTGTGATCACTGTGTGTGTGTAATATGTGTGTGGCAAGGGATGCCTGGTTGGCATGGCAAATTACCCTGCTAGCTATTTACACGCGGCGTAACAATATTAGAGTTTAGCATGAGGCAGGGGGGAGGGACGACTTAATCGAGCGTATGAGGGGGCCCGATGCTTTTTTAACAAGACGAGAATGGAGAGAACGAAGAGGGAGAAGCGGAAAAAAGACAGATAGATGATGGCTTTTGTTGAAGCGATAAAGCACTCGCGAGGCTCAAAGGTTAGCAGGAGCTGGCACATTTTAATATGAAAAGAGCCCAGGCGTGTGGCACAGGAGACACACACGCTGTTGAATAGACCATCCCTTTTCTGTGTGTGTGTGTGTGTGACAGGTTTGGCACCACGTAATCCTGAGTTTCAGTCTTGTGAGACCCATCGCTGGTTTGGTTAAAAGTGCCCTGAAGTGCCTTGAAATGCTCAGCTTAGTTTTTATCTTAGATGTCTGATGTAATTTCAACTAAATCCAGAAGATAGTTCTGGAAATATTAGCATTTAGCAAATTAGCTTATAGTGTTCTGTTTATATCACAGCTTCAGCATGCTGGTCATTAGTTAAAATGCATGGCTTAGTTTTTATTCTAGATGTGTGTTGTAATTTCAACTAAAACTGGAAGACTGGGCCCGCTATATTAGCATTTAGCATATTAGCATATAATGTTTTGTTTAACTCTACTGAAAAAAACAGCTTAAAGCAGCCTAAGCTGGGTGGCTAGTTTTAGCTGGTTGACTAGCCTGGTTTTAGAGGGGTTCTGGCCACTTTCAGGCTGGTTTCCAGCCATTTTCAGCCTGGTCTTTGCTGGTCAGGCTGGAAAAAGCTGGACATAGCTGGTTTTAGTGGGGCTTTCAGCCTGGCAAGGCTGGTCAAGCTGGTTTTAGCTGGTCATATATGATGCCATAAAATGTCGATTTCTAAGGCAAAATCTGTGAAGAAAAGTCTATTTTGTGACATAAGAGTTGGATTTGGCTGTCAGCAGGATAATGGTGTGGGGTTTGAGCTTCATGTCTGCACTGATGGCCTGTAATGTCGCTGCCTCTTCAGGAAGTAGATCTGAATAATACAAGATCAAAGTGGGTCAATATGACATTCATTAGTGAAAGCTTTCCCTGCGTCTCTCAATTTTCCCGTCCATTGTTTCATCCCTGTTTTTCTCTGTCTCTTCCCCTGTTTTCTCTGTTTTTCTGGTGGTCAGGTTCAGCTAGTGCTTTAATTCAGCAGCTCTAGTGAGGAGAAAGCTTTATCATGCACCAGCAGCGGACGTGAGCGTAAGCCTTTGAACATTCGCCACAGAGCAGGGAAGAGGCGTAGAGCGTACTTCTCGCCTCTTTGTGACGCTCTCGCTGACCGCTGAAGCCTTTTCATGAGAAGAGAAAAGCACCGGCCGTCTGAGGAGAATTCAGGAGCGGTTGAGCTACATCTTAAAATACTGCAGTGCTGTTCTGGGTTGAGCTGTTGCGCTTGGATTTGATTTTACTGTAGCGAATTGGTTCTGTTTTATTCTTTTCTCTTTTTTTTCAACAGGTCACTGTGCATTTACTTTCTTTGCAAACAGAAATATATTTGACATATTGAGATTATGTGTGTATGTATGTATGTATGTATGTATGTATGTATGTATGTATGTATGTATGTATGTATGTATGTATGTATGTATGTATGTATGTATGTATGTATGCATGCATGTTTGTATTTTACATACATATAACTAAGAATGAAGAAATTAGATCTCTTGTATGTTTTTAAATAGTCACTAATAATAATAGTATTTTTGATATTAAACAGTTGGTAATAAATGATAGTATATTAGTAATATACACTTATTTTGTATGTAAAATGTAAATGATTTATTGTTGTATTTTTCTCATTGATAGCTTTATTATAATACAAAAAAAAACATATCATATTTTTAGCAATGTATTTTCAAATGTTATTTTTATCAACCAACCAACCTATCCATCAACCAATCCATTAATCAATCAATCAATCAATCAATAAATCAATCAATCAATCAATCAATCGATCGATCGATAGATTAATTGATAGATCAATCTATCAATTAATCTATCAATCAATCTACCAGTCAGCCAATCAATAATTCAATAAACCAATCAATCAACCAGTC